TTCACAATGCTGGCTAGTGTCAGGTAGTCATCTGTATCATTTTTCGCCAACTTGAGGCAGTGGTACCGGATACTGAACAAAGACGCCTTTCCACCAAAAGTGTTTGAAATTTGTTGGACCGTTCCTTCGANNNNCAGCATCTGCGAATTCAAAACGGAATACATCTCCCAACGTTTGAACCAGGAATCAAATGTAGTTCATGTATCGGGGTCGTACAGGAATTCAGTGATGCTTGCGCCAACAGTGTCCATAGATGTAGACTGTTGAACCGGTTTTGCTGGATTGGGATGTGTGCTGAGACGTTGTAACATGGTCTCCATCATCTTTGGGGGGGGGAGGCCTCGAATTGTGCCTGTTGCTGGTTGAGAATTGCTTGTAACTGCTCCGGCGTGATCAACATTGTGGATCCCTAAATTTTCCCGTCGCCAGTTGTTGTGTTTGGTCTGAGCGTACGAATTACACGAGCGACTCTTGCTTAAGCCCCAACGACAACGCGGAGAGACAACACAGGTCTAGACACAGTCAGCGTGCAATACTCGATAAGTCATCGATACGTCAAAAAAAGGAACTAATCGTGTATACGAGGACGGCGCAGTGACGCACCAAACAGAAAGTGTCCTTGACATATCGATTGATCGATTGGACAAACATTGGCTCAAACGTTCTGTGATCATTCAATCAGGTTCAGCCTAACTGGAGAGTTGAGAGCGTGCGTGTGGCCTGACTCAGAGACGTGGGCGATCGGACGGGTTTCTTAGGCTCCGTCCGAACAGTATCGACCACGTCTTTACATTCCGTCAAATTATAGAACATAGACACTCCTTTNAACGGGAGATAAAGAGCTAAACCAGCTGAATACTGTGAGTCGGTAATCATACCGATTTCCAAAAAAGATGAAACCATAGAGGAATTAGTTTAATGAACATCGTCTCTAAACTTCTCATTGGCGTCATTCTCCGCCGAATGTCTGCCGCACACGTGAGAACCAGGCGGGTTTAAGACCCGGTCGAGGTTGTATCGACCACATCTTCACTCTGCGCCCAAATTCTGCAGCACCGGCATTCTTTTCGTAGATCCACCATCTCTGTTTTCCTCGATCTAAAAGCGGCTTTCGACTCAGTCGACCACTCTAAACTCTGGCACTGCCTTTCCCTGAAGGGAGTGCCCGAGAAGTTAATTTCAATATTACAATCCCTCTACAATAATTGCCGAAGCCGAGTCCGAGCTTACGGCACTTATTCACCCGAGTTCACCACGAAAAGTGGTGTTCGACAGGGTTGCCCTCTCTCTCTCTCCGTTTCTACTTAACTTTGTGATAGATTCAATCATTGAAACAGCCCTATCCTCGTGCGAGGATAGCGGTATCAATTTACTTCCGGGTGGCAGACTGTCTGATCTAGAATATGCAGACGACAATGTGCTACTAAGTGATGATCCAGGTAAGTTACAAGCTACTCTGGATAGTTTGAGTGCTAGTGTTGCCATGTTCCGTATGCGTTTTGCACCTTCAAAGTGTAAAATGTTACTACAAGATTGGGTTGGTCCAGCACCCAGTCTCACCCTAACTGGGGAAGTAGTAGAGGAAGTAGACAAATTTTGATATCTGGGCAACTATATCTCATCTGGCGGACACATCACAGATGCAGTGTCGGTGCGGATACAAAAGCCTCGGTTGGCATATGCCAACTTGAGACATTTGTGGTGCCGTCGCGACATCCGGCTGTCTGTGAAGGGTCGAGTGTATGCTGCAGCAGTTCAGCCAGTCCTGCTCTACGGTGCAGAAACTTGGCATTTACAGGAACAGGATAAAAATAGACTATCGGTGTTCGAACACTGCTGCCTACGTCGCATTGCACGAGTCTGGTAGGGTAACCGGATGAGCAATGCTGAGGTTAGGCACAGAGTTTCAGGCAGTCGCGGTCGTCCACTAGAGCAAGTGATCGACCTGCATAGATTACGCTGGTTAGGACATTTGCTGCGCATGTCACCAGATAGGTTGCCGCCACGAGCGATGTTTGCCAAGGATGGTAGCGATTGGAAAAAAGCCAAGGGTGGTCAAGCTAAGACCTGGCACGGGGTTATGAAAACCCTGACCAGGAGACTAGGTCACATAGGCCCCGTTAGGCTCCCTGGCTGGGGACCTCGGGATGATCGTACCCGATGGTTAGCTACACTGAGTGATATGACTGGGTGTCGTAAGTAGTGGCGTTCGTGCATCTTCTCAATTTCTTTGGAACCTTAAACCACTGAACTTCCCCATTTTCTTTTCGAACCCACTTTCAGTTTTTCTTTCTGCTCCTGTTCTTCATCCCAATGGGCAGCTAAAAGACAGCAACCAAAACCGGCGCACGAGTATGCGTGGTTAATGGTTGTACTAAGTGGACTGAACTGAACTTGTCTGAACACGATTTTACCAAGCCATCTTGTTCGTAACGGATAATGCTTGCCAATAGATGTTTTTATTTGTTTGTTTTGTATAGGCCAATTTCTGTTAGGGGGCTTCGAGCAATTCAAGGCTGCTTGGAGAAATACGGGAGGTGGTAAGTAAGGCTATTTACGGGATTCGAACACGCGACCTAGGGGCGATTGTTTTGATGAACTTGTTCGCTTCTCCGTCACCAAAACTGTCCAAATCTTTTCGAGCACCTCTATAATTACCCCGTGCCGTTTCTCATTGTCACATAATGCCCTGTCCGTTTGTCCATTATCCTAGGTACAATCAGCTGGGTCGTATCTCTTGCATTGTTTGCGGTATTCAGATCAAATCGGAGCATGCGTGGAACGCGCATATCATAAGCAAAACACACAAACAAGTAAACAGTTTTATTTTCACTTCTCTCATTGTCATCCTCATGTTAGAACGAAGCGCGAGAGGCTCAAGTTGCCCTAAAGCGATCAATGGAGGATGCACCTGTCCAACTTTCTGTTCTGACAAAACGATCGAAACCCGATGGGGACAAAGTAAGTGTTCTTGCCATTATATGCTTGACCCAGATTACACACAGATTGTTCCGCTAGCTGGACGCGAGATCTCCATTAGTCAGACACAGATCACAAGCCAGACGACATTACCATCAGCATCATCATCACCACCACCAACTGCTGCAAAAATACCAACAGACACGGCCGCTCTGGGCGAGAAAAATCCGACTGAAAAAACCCGAGATGACTTATCTGGATCTAAACTACCAGAAGGCTTTTTTGATGATCGATACAAAGATGCCAAGGTTCGAAATGTCCCCTACAGGGACAAACTAATCGAAGAAATGGAAGTGTTCCAGAAAGAAATGATTTCACTTGAAAAGGTAATGTGGCCGTTTTTATCTGCCGGGACAGATTGCTGCACGCGCGCGCGCACACACACACAGTGAGAGAGTCTTGTTGTGGGTCCTCTTGCAACATTTTCAGTTGTATCTTATTTGTGCATATATCTGTTTTTCAGTTAATTCGTACCGTGTTGCCGCGTTCAGCATAGTTCACCACATAGGCGTGCTAAGTAGAAGAAGAAGGACGAACGATTTTCAAGGATTCTTTATTCTATTCCGTGTACGTTAACCAGTGTTACAAAATATTTGGTTATTATAAAATAAGTATCATTATCGACGAAATTTAAAAGAGAATCAGCATTGTTTGGTGGCTGTCATGCACGCACGCGCACACACGTAGGCGCGTAATTTTCTGCTAAATTTCATTTGATTTCCTTTATCCCGGGTTAAGAACTCAAAGTTGCAGGTGACCGTTAGCCGAAAGCAAAACAAACATTGGTCAGCAAAGTCTGTTCATCTGAATTCGTCGCGACATCCGATTTTTTTACTCAGATATCCCCTGACACGGCGGTTTATTCCAGTGTTGCTCGTATACTAACTCCTTCCTATGCAAAACTGCATGCAGAATATCAGAAACCTCCAGTCGACACGGAAACAATCTCATAGACACGAAGCAGTACGAACTTTACTGTGACGATGTGTCATCCTTCAGTGAACGAAACATTTATGCCAAAAGTGTTTCGACCGATCGTACACTTTCCAACCTCCTGTAATACGATAACTTAATTTATTGCACCTACTCAAATGGGAGAACCAATAGCACTGGGCGAGCACCGTCAAGAGTGTTC